GGGGGGGGGGGGGGGGATCTCAAACTTGGAAAGTATCTTTGGAAACCTGTAGTGCTGCGCAGTCATCTATTCTTATCCACGGAGGCGAGTAGTCTGCAGCATCACAGCCCAAGTACCGGATGACAATATTCCCGGGGGAGAGAGGTAAAGAAAGGGAGGCAAAGGAAGAGGAGAGTATTCTAAGAATACATCTTTATCGGGTCAGCTGTTGAGCTCTACAGGCAGGCACAGGAACGGATGAATACGATAGATGATGCTCATGAGACGGGAGATCAATCAACTGTCCTTTCTCTTCTCTTCTTTTTTTTTTTTTCGCAATGGCCGATAATGCTCGATCATTACCGTATAGAGTAATGGTGGAAAAATCTCCTTCGTATTGCGCCTCACCATAGTCACGACTCACGCACACACGCACATCCATCCCCACAATTTTACATGTAAAAAAAAAAAAAAATTGAAAAAAAAAAAAAACCCCCAGGCATAAACTTGCCTGCAATATCTCTTGACAACTCCACCATCGTCGCACTCCATTTCTATAACAAGAAATAAGTAGCAGCAGGCAGTGCTACGGTCTACGAGTCTGGGACAGATCCGTCGTCATCACTTCTCAGACTTCCAACAGCCGTGACCGTTCATGTTTCTCATCCGTCTGCCTCTCTGCTCTGCCCCTCCCCCGAAAAGACATGCGCCACTTTTCCCACACTCTCGGGAGGCCTGTCTCCAAACTCCGTATTGTCAGGGGTTTACGATCCCGGTTATAAGAAGAATTCGACCTCCCCAATCTGACTCCTGTTCTTTTTTCTTTTCCTCTGTCGTCATCATAGAGCACATTACATCTTGGCTATATAAGAGGTTATATACATCGCATACAACTACACGCATTCAGAAGACTCTTTTCCATCTCTCTCTCTCTCTCTATACCTCTCTATCGACAACGACAACGACAACGACAAGAACCACTGCTACTACTGCCTCCACTACTACCAAGGCACCTTCTCGACAGCGACAACACCGACAACACCGACAGCAACAACATCGACAGCAAGATATCATGAAGTTCTCCACCGTCCTCGTCGCCGCCGCCGCCGTCTTCTCCCAGGCCTCCGCCCAGAACACCACAACCCCCACACCCATCTTCACCCCCCTCGCCGGCACCAACGCCACCAGGGCCGGCCCCACCGCCCCTATAAACAGGGTCCCCACGGTTCCCACTGCCACCGGGACAGGCTCTACCATCCCCCCCACTGCCGGAGCCGACATGAACCGTGCCAGCGGTCTGGCCCTCGTCGCCGCCGGTGTTGCCGCCTTTTACCTTCTCTAGGGGGAGAACGCTCCTCCCTCTCCCTCGCTACATCGCCCTCCTTCCCTCTCTCCCCTTCACACCTCTTCTCTTCTCTCGACCGCACATAGAACAAAACGCGCTACACATACAATTCTCTTCAGCATAACGCTATATACAACGCGCAACATGGTGGAATAAGACTGGTTCTTTTTTTTTTGGCGTTTTTCTTTTTATAACCATTGGGTTTATGTATTTTTTTGCACGAGTTTTTTTTTTTTTTTTGTTCGGGAGGTCACAACGGGCATGGCAGAAAAAAAAAAGGCACAGCCATCGCGGGAGTTGGGTTACATTCATTCATTTTGTTCTTCGGATACTCCCTTGCTAGGGGTTTTTTTTCTTCTTCTCTTTATATACCATATATAACGTCTCTCTTTTCTGAACCCGTGGGATTCTCATCATCTCAAAGCAGACACGCATCTATTCTATTAGGCAGACCATGTCCAACGCCATCATGCAATAATTCATGATCCCGTCATGCGAGAAATATTACCCGTCACCATATCTACAATTAGCCATTCTCCCCCTCAGATGATTTCCAGTCCCCCGACTTCACCCCCTCTGTCCCTGCAGTATGTATACGATGGCAGTTTCGGGAATGAAACCACGCACGTCTCGGCCCGCAAAAGCTCTGTCTAAGCAGCCGGATTCGGTCACACCACCCCGTCCACCACGACCTCGCCTTACTCATTGTGGTGCTGTTCCCTCCCACCAGAATATATAGCCCCCGCACTCGGCAGCGGTCATGCTGCCCCGAGGGCGTCGCGACCCAATTTCGTCTCCATCGTGATCGACCTCTCCTGCGTCAACGGCGTCTTCTTCTGCGACGCCTGCGTCGGCGGGCTCTGCTTCTCCTCCTTCACGGCGCCCTTGCTCGGCCCGCAGGCCATCCGCAGATGCACATATCTATCCAGGAGCGCCCTGCCCCCGTCGCCCAGGTAGCTGAGATAGAGTGTGTACCGGAACATGGCCTGGCGGACGTTATCCTCTGTGACGTCGTCTCGACCGAGGTCCCTGGCCATGGCATCCGCCGATATCGTCTCGTCCTCGCCAATCACGTGGCGGCCGTCGCTGTGCGGTCTAGGTCCAGCTCCGGCCCATCGCCTCCCGGACAGAGCAGCGTACAGGGCCAGGAGGAAGCCCTCGGGGACGACCAGGGAGGGCGGCACCCTGCACCGCGGCGACCATATGGCGTGGGATCGGCATCTGACGTCGGCAGCCGTGGCCTCGACGGTGGCCTGGGCGACGGCCGGGTCGACGAAGCTGGCTAGGATGGCGTAGTCGGCCTTGAGGGGTGTGGCGCGCCAGAAGGAGCGGCAGGTGAGGCGGGTTGATCTGCGGGTCGACGAGGGGACGTGGGCGAGGACCTCTGCTAGGAGTTCCATGGGTAGAGTGTCCATGTTAACTATGTGATTTTTTTTCTCTCCCCCCCTTTCCTGTCTCCTCTGCTTGTTCACCCTTGATGGCTTTGCTTTCCACTCTTCGAATCACCAAGATTCTCTGGTTTGGAAAGATAGAAGATGGTAGAATGACGAGAGGTCGGGAGAGATGAGGCCGTAGATGATGGCTGACGTTCGTCCCTCAGGGTTCTTATCCCGCGCGCTAAGACTAACATGCTAGCACACGGCGTGAGATGACCGACATGGGCCCCCCGCCCCTTTGTACCAACTGCTATTGTCGCTGCTGATACTGCTACTACCGCTAGAAGGAAGAAAAGGGAGGGAGGGAGGGAGCGAAGGGACGGCTGTCAGATTCCGCGTTCCAACATGATTATGCTGTATGTCGTAGGCGATCTGGATCAGCAAGGCTGGAGAATGTAACAGTTCCAGTAGCCATTGGTTAAACATTCGCCCGATTAGGAAAGAATAGTTAGCCATATGTAAGCTGAGTTGGCGGATCCCTTGACCGTCAGCTCCAGTTGGGTTCCAATATAATATGGGCACGGACTGACTTTACTAGAGATTCGGGTGCATTTCTCTTTTTCATATTATAGTAATAAGATTTAAAACATTATAGAGACAGGAGAAGAAGCAGGAGACAGAAGAGAGAAGAGTAAATTGGGGGGGGGGGGAAGAAGAAAGAAAAGACAAGAAAAGCCGTCTTGTCCTCCTTTGCTTCGGGTAATCCCGAGGTGCTGTCCGGGCTAGCTAGATCTCGTCCCGGCACACCGTTGGGTACACCGTTGGGCAGCACAGAACGGGCCGGGATGGATTCGGGATGTGCATGTGGATGGATATTTCAATCCTTCACGATGGTTAAAGGCGAGATATCGTGTAAGTGGTCAATTTACGACATGAACGAGGGCTTTTTTTTTTTCTTTTGCTCCAAGTCAGCCTTATATACGTTTATGCCTCCGCTCAGACCGTATCATACAGCTAGGACAGAAATGTTGCTCGATCCTGATCTGTGTCTATTCCGTCCGTACCGTGATACCGACCCAAAGAGAAACGGAAACCTTGCTCGTCTGCTTCAGCGATGACCAGGGAGATTATAGGCAGCGCCATTGCTTTACCGCTGAAAAGAAGCGTATGGTTGAGCCTGCCGATCAAGCTGGTCATGCTAACCCTGGCGTATACGCTGACTCGAGAGACTTGAACGGCAATGCCAGCCCTCGGGTAATGTGGTGCAGGGCTTACCATCTATCCCACCGTCATTTCCCTTCCATCTTCTTTCCCGAACAAGAGAGGGGGGAGGGAAAGTCAGGCAGTATCATGAATATCCGTCTCCTCCCTCCACCACTCCTGCATGAGCCGTATTCTCCGCGTGCGCTCGCGTGCCATGACCCTCCCCGCATCCGTCTTCATCATGCCCTCTATCCGGACGAGCTTCTCCTCGAAATGATCCATGCTAGACTGCAGGTCGCGGCCCTTGGCCCCGCCGAAGGCGAAGCACCGACCCACGCCCACGGCGCCGATGGCGTCCAGACGGTCGGCATCCTGCACGACCGCCAGCTCAGGGTGCTCGGCTATCAGGGCCGTCACGCGGGCTGGGTCGCGCACCTCGCTCGAGTAGCTGACGCCCAGGCAGATAGTCTGGACGCGGCGGGCCAGGTCCTCGGGAGCGCCGAGAGACACGAGGACGTCGTGGACGAGACGGTCGGCATCCTCCCCCGGTCTGAGGTACTTCCTGTCGCCGACGTCGTGGAGCAGCGCGGACAGCGTGACGACGTCGCGAGACAGGGACGAGGCGTCGACCGACGCGGCGTGCAGCTGGTGCGATAGCCTGAGCACGCGGAGGATGTGGTTGAAGTCGTGCGAGCCGTCGTAGTGCGACATGTACTCTTTGACGTAGTCTGTCACCTGGGCTATCAGACCTTGGTCTACTCTGTCGGCTGAGGTGGTCATCATGTATGCTGTGCTGTCGTAGAGGGAAAAGGTTGGCGATTGGGAAGGTCACTATAGAGGATGCTGACGGGTGTACATGACTGCCTGTATGCTGTACAATATCCTGGAGCCTGGTTGATCCACGGCGAGAAAGACTACAGAAGACGACTAAGCACCTCCTTCCTCCTCTACATACATCGTGAACGTGACGCTGAATTTCATCTCAGCCCGGACGCGTCCGTGCAAGACGGGTGCTCACGTGATCTGGAGCAACCAACCACCGGCTGTCTATTACGACCAACACACGGTATGCTACAACAACAATAAACTCCCTGGCTTGTGGTCATGAAAGAAGAAGCGAGAGAGAGAGAGAGAGAGAGAGAGATGATGATGATGACGATGATGCCAAACGTATTTATTCGTGCTCGTAGCGAATCCATCAATCGACTCATGTAGAACTACTCAGGTAGCCGTAATACTGTTCATGCTCTCAGCGTGGTCGGCCGACTGTTGGTCCGCCTCTGTTGCAAAAGGCAGGTGCATCTATCATTCCTCCTTCCCACTCGCTTAGACCTCCTTTCTCTAGCTTTCTCCTTCCCCTCTCCCTCGCGTAGCTGCATGCATGGATCTTGCCATCATCGACACCCGCACGCACAATGGCCACGTACCCACCAGGGCTGGTTGTGACTACTGCGTATCTCATGTACTCGTACGAGTGCGACCAAGGCTCACAAGGTGCAATGCTGCGTCGTGGAGTGCCTAGCAGCCATCTGCAGAAGCGTCGGACGCGCCGTCTTTCATTCTGATTGGGAGTCCTGTGTCTCTCATGCACGACAATGGGGTGATCAGGGCGGCTACGGGAACCTCCCGCGCTCAGATGTCATCATGTGCACCCACACACGAACATGGCGGTACCTAGAAGAGCCAGCTGGCTACAGCTAGTATTGTTACCCGATAGAGAGAGGCAGGGTCCAGAAAGCGAAAAGCAGGGAACAAATACCGCCAAACGCGAGCACGACGGCCACCACCACCACCACCACCACCACCACCACCATCATCACCACCGCCGGGATGCTACCCGTGTGACCCCACCGTCGTCGGCATGCAGTAAGAAAGAAAAAAACGAGAGATACGATGCCTTGCGTGAGGAAATATCCGGTTCCAGAACCATGCTGTCGACAGACAATCTGTCGGGAAATCCTTACCATGGTGAGCAGAGATGCACAAGTGAAGCCCCGCACTGGCATCTATCTATACTGGGGGGAATCTATTCGTACGGGTAAAAGGGACATGGCCAGCAGAACTGAAGATGGGAAATTCGCGCGACTGCTAACAATGAACGGGTTGATGACGGTCTAAAGAAGAAGGTACATCATCAGCTAAACCTTTCACCATGACGGACCGGTTTGTCAGAGTCGACTCTTCGAGATTTTTGGAATCTCCATTTGACAATATCAACACCAGCATATAAACATCAACGGTCCACCACTCCACGACAACATCGATTCATGATTCATGAATCATTTCTCCATCGACGAGTCCAAGGTTCTTTTGTCCCTCAAGACAGGAAACAAAAAAAAACAAAACATCCATGATCCACCCAGGCTATGTGCTCATGTACGCTATATGGAACGGCAAGAGGTGTGGTTACGGCGCGACTTGATTGGCGGCAGGGCTGATGCGGTCGAAACTGCAGGCCAATGACGTGAGATGAATAGACGCCGCATCGTCAACCTCACCCATGCCATCCGTCATGATGGGTGCTGCACCGCGCCCAGCCATTCGGCCTAGACATTAACCGCCCGGTCTGTCCATCCACACATGTTTGTGCGGGTCTCTGCAGTGTGACTTGTGCCTCTCTCAGCACCATCATCGACCACCCCGCTCTGCCCATTGGCTCGACCCTCGCCACTAAGGTCTATCGGTTCTTGCTTCGGATGCTGACTCCACGACGCCCATGTCCCCAGCTATGCTGCCGTTTTTCTTTTCATAGCTGTCGATCTGTAGTATCTGTTCCACTCACTCACTCCGCCAGACCATACCCACCCTGGTCGCCCGTCCTTCAGTCATGTCCACGGACCTCGTCCATGGGCCGCCCTACATGTTGTTGGCCGCTCTTATACCGGCCGGTTCCCCCTCTCCATTCTTCTTCTTCTTCCCTCTTTCTTTCTTCAGCAAGCTCTTCAACTTTGTTTCCACGTTTTCCGTTACTCCCCTAGTGTGTCTTTTTGTTTTTCCATAGAGCTGGTCTCTAATTCTCTTCTTAATACTTCCCGTCTCTAACGTCTTCGACCTTTTCTCACCATCAACCAACCCACTAAAGTTGCCGGTCAGCTTTAGAGACGATTCATTTTTTTATACATCTCTTTTTTTTTATACGCATTTACACACTCTAATAATTCCCTCCTCTCCTCCTAATAACGAATCCGTGGATTCCACTTGCTCGCCTGCACATTTCATTCACTGATCAGGGCCGGTCCCTTTACACACAAGTCTCGACAACCAACACTACACTCTCCCAGCATCTGCAGCATAGAATTACCCTCAGAGGTATACAGGAAAGAAGAAACATAAAAAAGGAAAGAAATCAACACACAAAAAGGAAAAATGTCGGCCACTCAGCTTTCGTTCTCCCTCCGCGTCTCCTCCGGAGTCAAGACCGTCCACCTTCTCGGCTCCTGGGACGGATACTCTTCTCAGCTTCCTCTCGCCAAGGACAAGACTTCGTCGAAGTCGGGCTCCTGGAAGGGCACCTTCCGCTTCCAGAACTCGACCCTCGAGCCTGGCCAGCGCTACTGGTACTACTACATCATCGACGGCTACCACGTCGCCCACAACCCCAGCGTCAGCTCCACCGTCGAGCCCACCACTGGCCGTGAGCTCAACATCCTCGACGTCCCCTCAGAGTCTTCTTCCAAGTCGTCGTCGTCATCCAAGTCCTCCTCCAAGTCGTCCTCGTCTTCCAAGTCGAGCAGCAAGAGCTCCTCGCGCCACTCCTCCAAGGACAGCTCCAAGTCCTCGTCGTCCAAGTCGTCTTCCCGCTCGTCGCGCAGCGGTAGGGAGTCCCTGTCCCTCGACATCCCCAAGGGCCGCCCCCTGTCCATCTCTCAGATCCAGGCTCCTAAGCCCATGTCCCCCCACGCGACCCAATACATCCTCAACTCTGACATGTGTGACGACGATGAGATTGCCGAGATGACTTCCCGCTTCAACCGCGCCGGCATCGACGACGAGGATGGCATCGACACCGACTTCAGCACCTCGCCTGTGTCCTCGTCCGGCTCGTCACTGTCTTCGCGCATCTCCAGCTCGTCGCCCAACTCGTCCATGTCCGGCTACAGCACCCCCAACTCGGAGTGCAGCTCGTGCACCTGCGAGCGCTACGGCATCACCCGCAAGGGCGAGCGCGTCAAGCTCGACTGCGGCGGCTCCCGCTGCGCCTACAGCGACGACAGCTCAGACTGCTCCAGCATCATCAGCGAGTCTGAGGACGAGGAACCCGTCGAGGCCCGCGGCGGCAGCCGCAGGAACGGTATCATTGTCTCCTAAATGGTCCTGTTGTCACGTCTGAAGAGAATCTCCTCCCCCGCCCACCTATTCCTTTCTTTCCCCCAAGCCTTCCAACGAGCTGGTTTCATCAGACCCCAGCTCTTCCTTCCTTCCCTCAATTCCTATTCGTTCCATGCTTGCTGTCCTCCTACTCTCCCCTTCTGTTTCGGAGATGAGAAAGATTATAGGACAAGGGAAAAGAACAAGAGAGTCGTTCATTTAGACTTCATGGAAGAGCCAGATCCCCCCCTCTCCCCTCCCTCGGCTCCCCTCCACTGCGCGCTGCCGAGACGGCACGCCAAGCTGGCCTTGGAAGAGCTACGTTCCAGCCGTTCAGGCAGCGCGCGTCGCTTTGTCGATTGGGCTGACACTACGACTCGGGGCATACCATGCCCTAGTAAGTCGTTTGCGTCCTCCCAACGTTTTTATGGTGAATATAGGATGAAACAAGCCTATTAAAAACCATACGAATAAAAAAAAGATTTAAAAAAGATTTTCAAAAAAAAAAAAAACGGTGTTGAAGGGTGGTTTGGGATTGCCCATTCCTCCAGATGGAGGGAACAAGACAAGTTGGAGCACATTCTTTTTCAACCGTGGTTGCGAGAAGAGGAATGCCACGCTCTCCGTTTGGGACTCACGTTAGATTCGAAGTCAGTTCGGGTTCTTTTTAGCTCGCATATCTTGTCTCCTTTGTCATATAAAAAGAGCTCGGAGGATGACTGTTCTGATGATGATGCCCTTTCATGGGACCTATTACGCAGTAACAATTCAACCATTTACTGCATTTCTTTCTGCACCAACACGATGAAACTGTAGATGGGTGTCATGTAGATAAAAACCATCCTTTCTCAACAAAAAGGTAGACAGTCGATGAAAGCAGTCTATCAAAACTTGAGCAACGCGTAGATGGGTGTCGGTGTCTCGGTTGCATAGTTGGCGACGGGTGGGCTGCGTTACAGTGTGGGCATAGTTGTCTCATCCCCCACATGAGAGCTGCCAGCCCCCCCCCCCCCCCCCCCCCCCCCACCAGTCTCAGTCCCCTGAGAGGGGGAGGGGCAAAAGGCAAGCTACTGCAGGAAAGTAGAGTAGAGCAGACCTGTACAGCACAGCACACCGACCTCTTCTCTTCTTTCTGTTTCTTTCAAAGAAAGTCAAGACCAAAAAATTGAAGACAAGACGATTGACGAAGCAAGAACCAAAACTAGAAAAAAAAAGAAGAAGAAGGAGAAGGAGAGATAGAAGAGATCAAACGAAAGAATCGAAAGGAACGAAATAACGAAAACGGAACGACCCCTCACCCTCCCACAAATCAAAAGAAGAAGAAGAAGAGGAAAATGTCGGACCAAGAAGGACAGGTCATCCTCCCCATCATCGACTCCCACATCCACCTGTGGCCGTCCAACTCGCTGTCAGAGTACGGCTGGCGCGACGGTTCGGACCCGGACGCCCCGGGGGAGCACTACATCCAGGAGTTCAGGGAGGCTACGCACTCAGCCCCTTCCCTCCTGGGGTACGTCCTGGTCGAGAGCGACCGGAGGTTCGACCTCGAGAGCGGCGCGGCCGACGGATCCGGCTGGGAGCTCCCCCTGAGGGAGGTGGGCATGATGCGCAGGGCTGCTCTGGGGGACTATTCCGACGGCTCCTCCCCGGGTGGGGACCAGAACCGAGAGGACGGGAGCGAGGGCAGGAAGGATCCGGAATGTCTCGGTCTCGTCCCCTGGGCTCCCCTGCCTTCCGGTCCGGCCGTGATGGAGAGGTACATCGACCGAGTCAGGGAGGTGGCGGGCGAGGAGGCCTGGCCCAAGGTCAAGGGGTTCAGGTACCTCGTCCAGGACAAGCCGGCGGGCACGATGCTGGAGCCCGGCTTTATCGAGTCGCTCAGGCTCCTGGGTCGGAGGCGTTTCGTCTTCGAAGTCGGCGTCGATCACCACCGGAGGGGAAAGAGGCAGCTGGAGGAGATGGTCTCCATGATTGAGAAGGCTCATGACGGTGTACCTGAGGAGGACAAGGTGACTCTCATCATTAGTATGTTTTTTTTTTTTTTTCCTTTTCATCCATCCTTTCTCCTTCTTTCTTCTTCTTTTTGAGGGGGGGGCGAAGGAGGATTTTCTTTTTTTCTTACTTCTTTTCACTTGAACCCAACCCCCCCCCCCCCCCCCATGTACTAACTCTACTTCTTTCTTCTCCTCCTTCACCTCACAGACCACCTCTGCAAACCAGACTTGACAATCTACAACATCACATCGGACCCATCCTTCCACGCCTGGCGGACGACAATCTACACACTGGGGAAATGCTCAAACACCTATATGAAGCTGTCGGGCGCCTTCTCCGAGATGCCCGTCTCCCTGCGCACCCAGACGCCCCTGCACATCTTCCAGAGCACCCTCGGCTGGCTGGGCATCGTCCTGGCCACCTTCGGCCCTGACCGCATCATGTTCGGCAGCGACTGGCCAGTCTGTACTCTCGGGGGCATCGCCGCCGCCGCCGTCAAGGCAGAGGAGGGTCAGGACGAGGAGACCGGGAAGAAGGTTGTCGGCGCCGGCAACGGCAGCACCGCCGACCCTGACGCCTGGGGTCGCTGGCGTGACGTCGTAGAGAAGATGTGCTGGATGGGCTCTATGACGGACGAGGAGAGGGCCATGGTATTTGGCGGTACGGCCAAGAAGGCATACCGACTTTAGGTCTTTATACGTGTCTACAGTACCCTTCCGTTGGAGCATCCTTTTTCGTTACAGCAATATACCAATCTCAATTACCCTGATGATATAGTCCTGACGATATATGGTCCTGGCGGTATTACCTGGCAATAATAGTATCTGACAATAAGCCAACATGATTCATGATTAACATAAAATGATGATAAAAATAAATACAAGAAAACAAAAAAAAACAAAAAACAAAAAAAAGGGGGGGGAGGGGGAAAAAAGGAAGAAGAAAAAAACTACCGAAAAGAAAGCGCCATCATGATGCCGACATTTCATTCATCGCTTGCCAATCCACCACTCATATTTTTTTTCCAAAAGAAATCAAGGGGGAAAGAAACAAGAAAAAGAGACCGCAGACAAGGCTCTCTATATAGAAGAAGAGAAAAATCTTTCCCTTATAAGAAAAAAAAAAGAGAGAGAGGAAAGAGAGGAACAGAGAAAAGGGCATCAGTCCCCACCCCTCCCCCTGTAATTCCCCATCTTCTCAATAGAACTCATGATTCCACTCCGAGCAACTCCCGGTCTAGGAAGGCCGCCTCCAGGTGTCCTGGACCCCATGGGTGGACGGATCGCCGACCCGGGAGCACGCAGGCCGGAAGCGCGGTTCGCCCCAGCCGTAGCAGTGTGACTACGCTTGGGCGTCTTGGCGGCCGGCGCATCGGGGTGCTGGTGCTGGTACTGCTGGTGCTGCTGCTGACGCTGACGTTGAGGTGTAGGTGGCTGCTGCTGCTGCTGCTGCTGCTGCTGCTGCTGCTCGACAACCTGCTGCTGTTGCATACTCATCATCTCCTCTGCCAGCTGGACCAGCTCGCCCTTCTCTACGCGCTCCGTCTCCAGCATGGAGCGGAGATGGTCGTTGTCGCGCTGGACGGTGCACAGTATGGCCTCGAGGCGCTGCACGTCGGCCGTGAGCTCCTTGACCGAGGCGCTGTCCCGGACAGCCTGGGCCCTGATCTTCTCATCCGAGGCGGCGGAGCCGCTGTTTGCCATGGACGGGGCCGAGGTCGATTTCTCGGAAGCGGCCGAGAGGTCGGCGCGTATCCTCTCGTTCTCGACCGTGAGGTTCTCGATGCGCGCCTCCAGCTCGTTGACCTTCTTCTGCCAGCGCGACTCGTACGACTTCTTGAGCGCCGTGACCTTTGTCTCGTGCTTGCTCTTGTACAGGCCATGCAGCTCGCGGGCCACCCGCTCGACGGCGACCTCGACCTCGCGGTTCGTGGCCTCCGGGTTGGGCAGCGCCTTCTGCTGGTGGTGCTGATGCTGATGCGAGGCCGAGGCTGAAGCGGAATCCCTACCCGCCCTCATGCCGGCCATCTTACTCTCGGCCTCCTGGTGGAGCATCTCAGCCGCCTCGCGCCTCTTCACACTCTCGTCCAGCTTCATCTCCAGCCTCTCCCTCTCGACCTCTCCCGTGACGATCTCCTCGCGCGCCTTGCCCAGGAGGGCCTCCATCTCGCGTCCGCGCGCCTCCCAGTCCCGCCGCGAGGCCTCGAGGCCCTCCCGTGCCAGCTGCTCCTCGCGCAGCAGCTGGAGCGACGCGCTCACGCGCTTCTCCGCGTCGCCGACAGCCTCCTTGAGCGACGTCACCTCGGCCTCCTTGCCGCTCAGGCTGGCCCTCAGCGAGCTGATCTCGGACAGGAAGCTAGACTTGAGCGACTCGAGCTCCCGGGCCGAGATGGTGGGGACGCTGCGCGGCGTCGGCATGGGTGGGATGTCAAAGTCGATGAGATTGCTCACGCGTCTGCTGCCGGCTGCACCGCCGCTAGGTGTGGCGCTGCCCTTGGCTGGCGATCGCATCGGGCTCGAGTTGCGCAGCTGCTCGGTAAAATCCAGCAGGTTGCCCGCCGACTCCCTCGTCGACCCGCCGCCCTTGGTCCGGCTGCTGCTGCGTCGGAAATCCTCGCCCTCCTTGACGGGGGAGCTGAGCTTGGCCAGCATCGTCATGTCCGGCACGGCGGAGAAGGTGCTGAAGGTGCTGACCATTGTGTCGTCCGGTCCACCTCGCTCCTCCTCCTCCTCCTGTCCGTCCATGTCTTGGCGTCCTTGCTGCTGATGCTGCTTCTCCACTGTGTGCTGATGCCTCTCCATGATGCTGTCTTCGTCCTCGAAGATCTCGATGGCATGTCTGAGGCCGTGATTCTCTCTGACGGCTTGGTCGAGACCCATCTTCCGTGCCGTCGCCGCGCCGTTCGTCCTCTCGGGCTGCCCCTCCTCCACGACGGTGTTGCTGATCTTGATGGGGAACCGCTTCTCGGGGGACATCATCTTGCGTGGCGATCCGCCGCGGGCCACGCCGCTGCTGGCGTTGCTGCTCGTGCTGCTGGTCCTGTTGAGGCTGCTGCTGCTGCTGCTGTTCTGCTGCCCATTCTCCTCCTGGATGGTCGAGGGCGTGGTGCGTCGGTGCATCTGCTGCTGGTTCGGCTCGCTGAGGATCTTGAGCGGCGAGAGTTCTGTGCCCGACAGGACGCGCGAGTGTCTAGCCGTCGACCTGGAGCGCGGAGGGACGTTTTCTTGGTTCACGTGGTCGTTGCCGTTACCGTTGCTCGTCATCGTGGGTGCGGCAGCAGCAAAAGAAGCAGGAGCGGACTCCTCCTCCTCGTTGTTGTTGTTGTTGTTATTGTTGTTGTTGGCGGTGGTTGTGGTGTTGTTGTTGTTGTTGTTGTTAACATAGGAAACAAAGGGCGACGAACTGTCGCTCTCGTCGCTGTTGTGGATATCCCTCGATGACATGGTGGTGAATGCCTCTACTTCGTACTCCTCGCTTCGACGCTTCTTGCTCGTGGACGAGTTGAGCGCGGCGCTAGCAGATGATGATAGGGGAGACGTCATTTTGGCCATCACTGTCTGTGTGGGGACTCTTTCTTTCATATATATCGCCTCTTGCGTTCCCTCTGTTTGTCGTCAAAAAAAAAGTCAAGCGTCAATGCCATCAAACGTCAATGTCATCAAGAGTCAATGTCATCAAACGTCAGTGTCATCAAACGTCAGTGTCATCAAACGTCAATGTCATCAAACGTCAACGTCATATACGTCGCCCTTTATCCGTGGCGGGAAGAGAAGAAGGGGAAGAAAGGGGTTTGCGTGTTTGGAGTGTGGGTGTGTGTGTGTGTGTATTTGGTAGAGTTGTTTGCTTTAGTTTGGAAGGAAGAAGAGAGACGAGAACCGTGTGATATTGTCTATGTTACCTATGCATGATTGTTTTGATACGTGAGCCGTTGGTGTGGTAACCGTGCTGCCCACCAATGCTGCACCATCCAAGGGGCAGAAGTTGAATTATGGGTCCCCTCCCAAGCCTCAAGTCCCAAGTCGACAACAACTGCCGTACTGATTGATGGACTCTGAACCATCCTCTGCTACCAGTGCTATTACAGTGATCTGCAGGTAGCTTCACGTCTCTTTATATACGCCGGCTTCTTTACTCTGCCTCCGGCGGCCCTACCGCGGGGGTCGTTCTCGCTTCGCTCGCCCTCTGAAGATAACAACACTTTTACTTGCACTACGAATTGCCTCCTCCGGGTGTTCCCCTCGCTTCGCTCGCTCCTATCTGAGAATGAATTCAATTCTACTTGTTCAATTGCTTCCGGCGGCCCTACCGGGGTCCTCCTTGCTCTGTCAGTCGCCCCTAATGCGAACAGGTCAATCCGATAACCTCACATCTGTTTTTCATCCTGGTCTGCAGATTACATGTACGGCGGTCAACAAACTCGGCATGGTTGAACACGGCTTTAGGAAGAGAGAGAGAGAGGGTGGATGGGAAACCCCCCGCCCGCAAAGATCTGACAAAGATCTCACAACATCAGTCTTTTATTTAATAGATCCTTCGTGAAGTCGTAAATTGTGCTCCCAAAAAACCTTGGGGGTTTATCAACGCACACAAACAAGAAATCGTGTTCCTCTTCTTCTTTTGTCGGCAACGCTCAGATTTTGAACACTTTCATGCGAAAAAAAAGAAAAAAAAAAGTCAATTGTCTCGCCCCAACTCTCAAGAGAGGGAATGGAAAGTTGTAAAATGGATAAATGAGGTTTTTTTGGTTTGAAGAAGAAAAAGAGAAGAGGAATACTAAGTAAGGTCGTAAGGTCGTCATCAATGAGAAAATAGAAGAGGCACACAGGGAACAAACCAAGGAGAAAAAAAATGAAAAATCAAACCAAGAATGAAAAAAAAAGAAAAAAAAAAGAGAAGATATCAAAAAATGGATACAGCCAAATTGGCAACATGATATCCGCCTCCCGCCCCGGCCCTTTTAATTTTTTCTCCAAAGAAAAAAGAAAATCTTTAAAAATGAGAAAAAAAGAAGAAAAAAGACATGTTCTCGTTTCAAAGAGGTGTAAGGTAGAAGAGAATAAGGATGTCGGAGAAGAAAGAGAAAGAAGAAGAGAGGTTTTGGTGTTTCTCTCCTTCCAAGATTGGAGTGGCGTTATTTAGGTTAGACAATAATGGAAATAAAATGATTGGCAAGGCATCAGATACCACAGCATCTCCTCCCCTTGAACCCTGGAGGACATTAACAGGTAAAGGGAGAAGCATGCCGTGGTTCGCCTCGGAGTTCTTTTTTTGGCGTGTTCCGCACCGTGCTTCTCTTGTGCACCATGTGTGTCGCGTTGCTCTCGTCATGCTTCCGTTGCGTGCGTTGCGTCGCAGGAAAAAAAAAATATGCGGTGCGTGCAGAAAAAAGACTGCGTGAACTTCGTGAGGCCATGTAAACCCATCAACAATAAAAGCAACATTTTTTTTTCGGAAAGACATGGAGTCGGTAAAGTCGTTAGAAAAAATTCCTGTGCTGGTGTGTGGCGCATCACAAAACGTCGCGGTGTCGATGAAGCTTGCAGAAAAGACGAAAAGACGAAAAAGAAATCAGGCGATGGATAGATGACAAACGTGACCAACAGATGGTACGGTCAAGGGGAGGGAATAGTTGGAAGGGTGATGGTGTCGAAAACTCGTCGACCGTGACCCGTCAGACGTACTCTCCCGTGCGTGTCAACGTATTCGCGCTCATCGCCTAGGCTCACCGCCTCCGATCGGGGGGGCCGGGCGTCCGCCCATAGAGTCAAAGGGCGGCGCGGGCATCGAGTCGACCGTCTTGCGGCGCTTGATGTCTCCCATTCCGGGGAGCTCTCCCATCGGGCGGGGGAGCTCGTCGTCGCCGTCACGGCCCCTCTTGATCCCGGAACTGACCGAGCCGTTGGACAGCGGTGGCTGGGGGGCGTAACCGTTGGCAAGACCACCGCTCATGTCGGTGTGCTGGCCGTAAACGTCACCACCGGCCGCTCCGTTCGTCACGGGGCGGTCGCTCCCGACACCGTTATAGTAGGCGGAAGGCTGCTGGACGCGGGGCGAGGCACCGTAGGCCGACGTGTGCGGGTAGTAGGGCTGTGTGCGGGGGGTGGCACGGCCGCCAGAGGCGGGAGCGTGGCTGGGCGAGGCCGTCATGCCGGGGTCGACGTTGGCGGCGTCGCCGGTGAGGGCGCCGACGCCGGGGGCTGTGTAGCTGTAGGGTCGGCTGCTGTCGTACGCGCCGCTGTCGTGCGTGTACTCGGCGTCGTGCTCCTGCTCGCCGTCCTCGTCGGCGGCCTGCGGGTGCTGGTGGGCATGGTCAGATCCCAAGAGGCCGTTTGGGGCCTTGGGGTCGTGCTCGCTGGGAGGGGCGGAGCCGGCGGGACGGCTCGAGGGAGGGGGTCCCATGTCGTGCTTGGGGTACGGGTTGTGCTGTCCGTACATACGGTCGCCGTTGGACGAGGCGGACGCATAGGGAGACTGGTGAGGGGCGGGCGCGCTGTACATGTGCCTCGAGTTGTCGTAGCCCTGGGTGGCCGAGGGGTACGGCTGCATGGCGCCGGGAGGGGTTGTCGTGGGCGTCGTAGGCATGGAGCGGGCGTGGCCGAGGTTGACGTCCATGGCGATGGGGTTGCTCGGCTGAGGGGTGCCGTTCATGCTCTGACCCTGCCAGTTGAAGCCCTCGTTGCTCGGCATGTTGGGCATGACACCGGAAGCGCCGGTGGCCGGAGGCGTGGGGAAGCTGGCGGCGCGGTCGAGCGGGGGGCGGCCGATGCTGTTGGAGGCGAGCGACGGCTGGGATCCAGGCAGGCCCAGAGGATGAGGCTGGTGTTGGATCGAGGGGAGGCCGGCGGGAGGTGTGCGCATCTGCTGGCCCTGCTCCTGCTTCCTACGCTCAGCAGCGGCCATGACCTGCGACGTGCGGCTCTGGTTGGTGGGATGGTAGAGGAGGGCACCGATGTTGTGGACAAACAGAGGGTACAGGAGCTCGGTGATCTTCTCCTTGTTCGCAAAGTCAAGGGCCCGCTCGTAGGGGATCCTGTTCGGTTTGTCTCGGGTTAGTGCCGTGCTCTCTCTCTCAACGTAGCGCGATGCCACGCGATGACGTGTCTCAGCTGGGCAGTGGTGAGGAATTTTCGACATACCAGACGCCTTTGAGGTGCATGGGGCCAATCTTGACAACATGGCGAACCTTTTCACTCTTCAGGATACCATCTCTCCGGCCTCTCGTCATACCAGCAACGTTGAGCAGCTTCGTTCCGTTGATCATGTGATTGTCTGCAGGGTTGAATTGTCAGCCATCGAGGGATAGAGACGGGCCGGAGGGGGGTTGGGGTAGGCGGGGTCGAACTCACCTTCGCGACGCGCAACGCAGATGCCGCGAGCCTCGACCTGAAAGCACAGGCTGCCCTCATCCTCCCACAAGGTGGCGGTGACGCGCGGCTTCATCCCCGGTGGGGGGTGCTGGCCGGTCGTGTCAAACGAGTAGTGGAGTGCCGTTCCAGCCTGGACGCCGACGCCGGGCAGAGGCAGGACAGGCTGGGTCTGAGGTACGGCGGCTGAGGGTGACGTCATGCCGTTGGCGTAGCCATACTGTCCGTAGGGCGAAGGGCCGCCGTTGGAGTAGGCCTGGCCGGGCTGCAGCAGGGGCGGCTGGGCGGGAGAGTAGTGGCTCATGGGTCCCGAGGTGACGGTCTGGGGTTGTTGGGGCTGGCCGGCGGACATGTGCGGCGGATAGTACATTTCGCTTGCACCGCCGTGGTTCATGGCGTCAAAGGGAGCGATCGCGGTGGGAGGGCCCGAGATGGCGTTGAGGGGTAAGGTAGGAGAGGGCGTCTTGGGCCCGGTGGAGGAAGCAGCCCGGGTGGTGGTGAAGGATGTGGCCTGGGACCCAGTATGCGAGCCGTTAGAGCCTAAGCCTGGTGGGGAGAATGAGGAGTGATGCGAGTGCGTCTGAACGAGAGGCGGGAGGTAAGAAGAGGAAAGTGCTCCGATATTCATACGCACGGAGCGCTACGACACCGTGAGAGAGAGAGAGATTGGGCAAGAGAGGAGAGGAGAGATGTCTGCCTAGTAGCCAGACAATAGACACACACGAGACCAATTCTACAGGTCCACAGTGTTGGCAAGGTAAGAGAGAGAGTCGCGTCCAGGTGAGCTAATCACTGCTGCTGATGAGGAGCAGAAGCTGTGTCAAGAGAGCTGGGTGGCGTGTCGGCTCGGAAAGCAATGTTACTCGTGGCGGGCATAAACTCGGAATCGTAGCAGTCGTAACACGGCGGCGGGGTTTTTGAAGTCGTTGAACCAGAAAATGTTGCAGAAAACAGATGAAGCTTCCCCTCGAGACGAAAGAAGGAAGAGTCGTACTAGACAATTGACGGTGTCCAGATGATGGGGAGGGTCGTTCAGTTGCCTTGCGAACAAGATTTGGGAGAGAACACACGATGATATGCTAGCTCGCAGCAAACAAGACAAACGACGACGACGACGACCGTGAGACGCTGAGGAACGAAAAGCAAAACGGTCGCTTCTCTGGTTGAAAGAAAGAAAAAAGACGACACCCGCTACTGCAATGCAGAAAAAAGAGACAACAATATTAGCCTCTCGATGGGGGGAGGGGGGG